TCTCTCTCTCTTCTCTCTCTCTTTTCTCTCTCTCTTCTCTCCTCTCTCCCTCCCTCCCTCTCTCTCCCCCCCCATCTATTTACCTCATTTACCTCTCATTCAATCTTTCCATTCACAAAATGCTCAGGGAGCTTGACACATTAACACATTGCAGGTCTTCCTTAGCTTACAACCGTTTGTTTAATGACCGTTCAAAGTTACAATGGCACTGGAAAAGGTGACTTGTGATTGTTTTTCACACTTATGACCATTACAGCATCCCCATGGTCACATGTTTGAAATTTGGGTGCCTGGCAACTGGTTCAGAATCATGACGGTGTCAGGGCTCCAACAAATCCACCCTCATTCAAATCAGAAGTCTCTAGCTGCACCTCAGAGAAAAGTAAATCGATTTATTAGGGGTGGCCATGTTGGTGTAAGCTGGTTGCAGCCGATACTAAATCACATCATACATTTCCCCCTGGTCTTCCCCCCACCCCCTGGATGTGACTTCTCCAATGGGACACATCAGTCTCCAAGAGTCATCCATCATGCTCTCCAATAACCTTCTTATGCTCTGACAAGAATGCCTTGTTTTCCCCCATTCCCTTTTTCTGGCAGCTAAAAAGACCAAAGGAGTATCCTTTTAGTTGACAGACAGTTGCAATACCCCAGAGTCAAGGGATTACCTTTTGTGACCTTCTAACAAGCAAAATCAATGGGGAAGTCAGATTCCCTTAACAACCGTGTTACTAAACGTAAGACCTGCAGGGATTCCCTTAACAACTGCGGCAAGAAAGGCCGTAAAATGGGTCAGAACTCAGTTAACCATCTCGTTTAGCAGCAGAAATGTTGCGCTCAATTGTAAGATCGTAAGTCAAGGGCTATCTGTTCACCAGAGCGTAATTTGTTTTCCAGTAGTTTATGGATTAAAACACCCTCACCCAGAGTTCCACCAACAAAGTGGAAAAGAAAATGACAAAGAAAATCAAGGAAATACAAAAATAATCATCAAAATACAGGTAGTCCTTGTTCTATCGCCAGAACAAAGCAGATTCGAGACCAGAGTTGAATTCAGCTCTTTATTAACCATTAGTAACTTCAACTAAAGTCGAGCCGCGGCAGTCCTTTTTATAGCGGCTGCTCGTGGCTCGCAACCAATGGCATTTATTCAAAACTCCCGCCACTTAGGCAGCCAATCAGAACTGTTGTTATCTACCAATCGCTAGGCGGCAGTATCTGTCCAATAGGACTGCGGTATTACAAGTACGCAAAACAAGTACATAACAGTCCTTGACCCTCAACCATTCATGTAATGACTGTTTCAAGTTATAATAGCATTGGGAAAAAAAAGATTTACAATTGGTCCTTGTACTTATGACCATTGCAACATCCCCAGGGTCACACATCCTCAAAATCTGGGCCCTCGGCAACCAGGATGTATTTACAATAGTTGCAGCATCCTGGGTGTGTGTGTGTGTGTCATATGATCAATATTTGTGACCTTCTCCGCTGTCTTCAAACAAGGAAAATCAATGGAGGAAAATGGATTCACTTAACGACTTTGCAATTCACTTAACCACTATGGTGACTTGCTTAACAACCCTGGCAAAAACAAGGGTGTAAAATCAGGCGTGATTCATTAACAGCCGTCTTGCTAGCAACAGAAATTCTGCTGCCATCTGTGGTCATGAATCAAGCACTACCTACACATTAAAACAGGAGAGAAAACGAAATGAGATGACTATCCTTGAGAGACATTAGTGTAAGACTCAAGGAAAGTAGCTTAGACCCCAGTGGAGCACTGGGCTGCTCCTTAAGAGAAAGAGGTTCTCACCGAGTCTACCAGGATGAAAGCTGCAGGATGGCGTTGTGCTACGCCTGCTCTTTGGAACCGCACGATGATCTTGTAATGGTTTCTGGGTTCAAAACAGAAGGGCTTGGGTAGAAGCAAGTACCTGGGGAACAACAATAAGCAAAGATCTTGTCAGGAAAAAACCCCCCCACAAATGCATTAGGGTAGAGACAGATGCTGGCAGGATAAAAAAGGCCAGTTCATAAATGAAGACAGTTATGATAGCAGGCTTGGGGAATTGATATCTGCACTTGCCAGATCTGAAGATCAAAGAGAACCACGTTGAGAAGGGAGGTGTAGGACCAGATCACCTAGCAGGCCAAACTATTAAGCATCTTGTTAGAAAGAAGGACATGGGAAGAGAGAGAGAGAGAGAGAGAGGGAGGGAGGGAGGGAGAGGGAGGGGCAGAGGGAGGGAGAGAGAGAATCTATAAAGTGAAGAGGAGAGAAATAGAACATGATTGAAAAGCCAGAGAAAAAGAAATCCATACATTGATCACAATCTCTCACAAATGCTAGAAGCTAAATTCATACAAAATGGAATTTGTATGTAGAGAAATAAGCCATACAATCTTTTTAAAAAACAAAAACAAAAAAAGACCTAGAATAGACAACAGCAGCAGCCCCTGAAGAGAAATACCGAGTTAGTAAGTATTTTAGAAAGAAATCATGGAGGTGATGAGGCAAAGTCTCATGCAGGATAGAATTCCATTGGCACACGCAGAGGCCCTTAGCCAAACCAAAATATCAATAACTTTCTAACCACATAAAACAGGAGCTTTTCATTTAATTATAGGAAAAAGTCAATCGAGCCAGCACCAAATATCCAGATGAAAGAAAAGTCACTTGTGCCAAAACACAAGTTTCAACCTTACAATGTTACAATTGGAACATGGGTAAAGAGACTTGTTGGCTAAGTCATTATTTGGCAACCTATCTACCTCATTCAGAGAAGAGACACCAGGTGCCATTATCTTCCATTTTTAACCCTTCTTTCTTTCCCCACGCCTTCTTCCATCTTTTCCTTATCAGTAAAAATCCCTTAAGGATAGAAAGTCAGAGTATTGCACAGCGCCTTATTAAAAATGAATAATTACTATTTTCCAGAAAATTTTAGCACTTTGTTTGCTGTAGATTTTTGTATTTTGTATGTAAGCACTGATGATGTTACCTAGTTTGGTAATGAAATGTCAAAAAGTTAAAGATGGCAGCTGCATCCGCTTGATCAAAGTCCCACAACTTTTTAACATGTAACACACATAAAAAGAGGCAAAGTGTTGAGTGCACGATCACAGCTCCATCCTAACATTTTGAGCCTCTCTGCAGACATTCATCTTCTGAACAACATATTCTCTTGAGTATCAAAGGACTCTGGAAAATGTAGAATTTAGCCCACAGCACTGCTTCATTTTGTCAGGCCCATCCTAATCCATCAATTTAAGAACAATCATTAGTGACGGGAAGCCTACAGTGAAAACAAACAGTAACAGGCTCTGTAATATACCTCCCCATTGAGTAAGCTATTTGGAATAAAATTAAAGAACATTTTTGTTTAAGATCTCTTGTGTCCACAAACATTGCCCACCAGCACCCATCTTTTTTTTCCTCACCTGGAGGTATGGGGCAAGCTCCCTTGATACACCTGCTCAGAGGGCAGCAAATTGCCACAACGTGGACTTACTGGTAGGTCCTGCGAGCTGACACTGACAACAACTTCCCAATCTTCTGTGGACTGAGGAGGAGATACAAGCAGTTTAAAGACAGGATTCCAGAATAAATAATAGCCTTCTCAAATTCTCACACAGAATGGAGATCCTTCTTGAGAGCTCTATTTATTTATTATACACTGTACTTTTATCTCACCTTTATTACTTTATAAATAATTCAAGGTAGTAAACATACATAATATTCCTTCCTCCTATTTTCCCCACAATAACAAACCTGGGAGGTGAATTGGGCTGAGAGAGAGAGTGACTGCCCAAAGTCATCCAGTTGGCTTTTAGGCCAAAGACAGCACTAGAACTCCCATTCCCCTAATTTTCAGGCCAGCACCTTAACCACTGCACCAAACTTCATCACTCTTTCTGTCTCAAAAAAGGTTCATAAGGTTAATTATAAAAGAACAAATCAGTGATCACAAAATCGAATCCATAATAAAAAAAGATAGATTTGGTTTTGAAACCCCTAAAACCTGACCAAATATTTATTATTATCATAGCCCTTTTTTTCTCTAAAGGAAATCTTGGTGAAACCTATGGAGTCATACACCACATTATCCTCATAACAATCAACTTGTAAAACAGATTTTGCTGAAAGAAAGTGGCTGGCTCAAAGTCATGTGATAGCAACCTTCCCAAGTAGATCAGATGGGAAACGTGACCAGATGAGCTAATTCTATTTTATTGTAAGCCGATATGAATAGAAACATACAAGTCTTGTTTCTACTTGGAAACCACTTCTGGACTTTGTGCTTGTGGTGGTGGGAAAAATGAAACTTTGATTTTGGGTTTTACTGATTAGATTGATTTGTTGTTTTAGAAATGGTAGTTTATACTATTATGGAAAAGTAAAAAGCTGAGGTTCAAGGTTAATGTCTTATTCTACTGCAACAGATGGAATTGGAAATCAACACCTTTTTTCCTCCTTTTCTCCCTTCTTTTCTACATTTCTCTTTTCCCCTTTCCCTCCCCTCTGTGTCCTACTATTTGCTTTTGTATTTTTCTATTTTATATGTACTATAAACCAGTGGCCCCCAACCTTTTTTGTGCCACGGCCCGGTACCGGCATCACAAAATGATCCGCGGCCCGGTACCGGCATCAGTACGCATGACAAGGCAAGGCGAGCTGAGCGACCAGTCAGCCAGCCGTCCCTCGCTTCTCCCCGCCACCTTCAACTCCTCCTTTGTACCTTTGTCGATGGGCTTCGCTTCGGGACGGCTTCGGGACGGTCACTTGGCTCGCCTTGCCTTGGGTGCTGAAAGAATCTTCATTTCCTCCAAAGTGATTTGCTACTTATTGTAATAAATCATTCTTGCTCCCATGCACACGCTGAAGATAAGGTCAAGACTTCGCCTGTCAAAAGCCTACCTGTTTTCCCTCCAACAATTTCTACCCACCTCAGGCTCATAGCGGAACAAGATGCCATATTCCATTGGGTAAGGAATGTTGTCAATGTGGAAGGATAGTCCAGCCCCATCGCGCACACGGGCGAAGCCTGGGCCTGTCCATGTGATCATATGGCCCGTGTGCTCTCTCTGTACAACTTCCACATCAGGCTGTAGATAGAAATGCAGTGTCAGCAGCAAAGACATGGTACCGTAGTCTTTCCAGCGTCTTTTACTCCCATCCTCCTGGCACTTCCTTGAGTATGCTTTTAGCAACTTGACTGACAAATGGAAACAGCACTGAGCTGCTGTTCCAGCAAAATCACATGCCTTTCTTACAAGCCCAAGATATGTTTAAATCATGACAGAGAAGCACAATGGATTTAAGTTTTATTCTTTTATCTTTTGGCTTAATAAAGCCCAGAGCTCAACAAATTTCCAGGCATCCTCTCCCATCTCTCCAACTAACTTTCTTTCTTTCTTTCTTTCTTTCTTTCTTTCTTTCTTTCTTTCTTTCTTTCTTTCTTTCTTTCTTTCTTTCTTTCTTTCCTTCCTTCCTTCCTTCCTTCCTTCCTTCCTTTCTTTCTTTCTTTTTTTTCTTTCCCTCTCTCCTTCCTTCCTTCCTTCATATATCTAATCTATCCATGGAGCCATCCATTTTCAGTTTCATCCCTTACAACACAAGTTATTTTCCAGAGAAAAAAGAACATAGGAAATACAGGTCGTCCTTGACTTACAACTGATCACTTAGTGACTGTTCATAGTTATGACAAGACCTCTCTGGGGGTACTTATGAAATAGTCCTGAAGTTCTGACAGCCACACTTATATATCCCACAATCATGTGACATTTTAAGCAACTGGCACAAATTTACAGCTATTTGCAGCATCCTATGGTCATATGACTATGTTTTATGGTATTTTTGCTAAAAAGTGACATTTACCGTAGCTCCTGTCTTCAGCAAAACTGGTCCATACTAAACATTCAGTTAATGACTGATGCAAAAAGTGATGTAAAATCAGGTTGATCAAGCTCCAGTACAGTCATAAGTTGAGGACCAGCTGTATCTAATTTATATGCTGCCCAACTCCCTATGACTCTGGGCTGTGAGAGGAGTGTACTACGCAAGGGTATGTGGTATCACACACCCATAGCTCTCTATAAATTCCCCTAAGCTAGGACTTCATGCGCTGTGCAGGGCTTGTCCCTTCACTGGGATCAAAGTGAAAATCATCTGTTTGCTGAATGTGAGCTGGGAAAGAAAGTTTCATTTTATTCTTTCTTTCCTGTCATGCCCCTGTCGGAGTCTGAATCCAAGGAGGAAGATGAACAGCTGACAGGGAGTGGGAGTGTGGCTCTATTGGCTGTGGAGGAAACTGGGGAAGGGCAAAGTCCACCTGGGCAGAGCAGAGAAGCGGTAGAACAAGGGAGAGGGAGTTCAGAGGAAGACCCAGGCCCACCTCCTCTTCATCCTAGGGCAAGCAGGGAGGAACGGAGAAGAGAGCAAAGTGGGTTGCATGGCTTACGGGGGAGGAAAGGGCCCTGATTCCCTTCATTAGCCACATCTAGGAATGAAAGTTTAAAAGAAATGCAGGCTGCGTGCAGCAGCTGCTGGGAGCAAACGTGAGTTTATCTTGTGTTAACTTTGCTTATCTGGGTTCCTGGCATCTTCCCAACTATTTGAGTTATTGATGTGCCTTCACATCTGGAATTCTTGCTCCTGCCCTGCCAAACTAATTACCTCATCTTGCCTTGATTGGACTTATAGTTACAGTTTTTGTTGACCACATTTTGGACTTGATTCTCTGCAGTCAAAAGCTGTTCCTGGGAGAGTTTTTCTCCAGCCAGAAGGTAACCAGGACATTGGGGACAAAGTTGGAGCTAATAAAGGGACCCCTAGTGATTAACTGACTGTGTTGCCTTTGTGCCATGCCCTGGGTCATCACATTTCCCCTTTGGAAGTCGAGTGTTCTGGGGCAGCCCTATTAGTATCTCAGAGAGCTCAGGGTAATATCAGTTTCTCCTCCAGCATCACTTCTCCCACAGACATTCTCCCACAGTCACCTTTTGTTGAAACTGTCGGGCTCGCGAGAGCACCCCTCGCTGCTGCAAGAGCCTTATTGTGCTGTGCTGGCGCCTCAGCCTCACTCTGCGCCCATTCTGGACGCCGTTGTAATATTCCACACAATCCACAGGCGATTCTGGCCTCAAGGGACCCTGTCACCGGGAGGAAAGCAGATCATACTGAAATTGCTATGGGGCGATTGTGTCTTTCTGCCTTGGCCACCCAACAACCCAAAGAAGCTAAAATCTGCAAGGGGAAAATGGAGGGAACCATATTCCCCTTTGCAGTGTGTGATCTGGATCCCTTGCTTGAGCCACCTGGATTGGGAAGGGGATTCTGTTGGACCTAACCCAAAGATTGGGATGTGCTCTAAATACTATAGAAATACACAGGAAAATATAGCAATGTGTTGGGCTAGACCAGGGGTGTCAAACTCAATTTCACTGAGGGCTGCATCAGGGCTATAGTTGATCTAGTGGGGGCACGTGGCCGATGGGGGTGGGCGTGGCTGATGGGGTGGGCGTGGCCAGCTTGACGATATTCCCCAAACAGCTGGCAGTTTCCTCTTCGCATTGGGTAGACTGGGCCAAAGCCATGCTGGCCCAATCTTCTCACTGAGTACACTTGAGTTTGCATCAACAAGATTTGGTGTGTGATTTCAGCTCATGGATGAGGTTCATCCCTATCCCCACGTTCAAAAAGAACAGGCTGAAACTTGTCAGCCATATCCTTTCCGGGGGTAATATACTACAGCATCTCTGGACAGCCTCTTGTAGCCTTTTAGTAGGCTAGGAAGTTGGACTGTATTCCCTAGCACCAGGGGTGGGATTCAACCGGCGTTACTACCAGTTCGGTGATTATGCTGCACGCGTGGGTAAAATAACCTTAGGCCGTGCCGCCCGGACAGCTGATAAACGGTGCGCGCAGGTGCGCAGTGTTTGGAAAGCCACTTTTCCTCTGCTTTTTCAACCTCAGCTGTGCCACGCAAAGCATCTGAGGTTGAAAAAGTAGGAAATAAAGGACAGGTAAGAGCCTGGGCAGGCGGGCCAAACAGCAGCAAACAGAACCGGTTCTGTGTCTGCTGCTCTTCAGAGCTACCAGTTCTATAGAGCCAGGCAGAACAGGTAGCATCCCACCCCTGCCTAGCACTCAAGTAGCCTTCAAATTTGCCTTAAGCCACCCTCGGACCACCTGTATCCTCTCCCTTCCATATTGAATTCTTAAATAAATGGCAAGGGTTTTCTAGACACAGACAAAGCTGCACGCAGATACAGCAGTTTTTCATTCTATTTACTCTTCCTTTGCCCGGCACACTTACTGGGAGATCTGGATCGGTTGGAGGAAGACCAGTGGCATGTTCAGCTTCATACATGTAGTAGTCCAAGGGCATACAGAAGAACCCCGGCTGCACGTCATTGCACTGACGACCCATAAGGTGGGGCCGACAGGGACACTGGCCATCATTCATAGAGCATCTGGAGACAGAAGGGACAACAGCAAAAATAAACATCTTCTTGCTAAATCTTTGAACAATGTAAATGGAGTGGGACTGGCAAAAAGCAGGCAACATTCAACAGTGCCAATGGTTTCAGAGAAGTGGTCCTCGACTTATGACCTGGGGTGGGGACCAGAATTTCCATTGCTAAGCAAGGTGGTGGTTAAGTGAATCGCGGTCGATTTTACAATTTTTTGTTAAGAGAATCACGGCAGTTGTTAAGAGAATTATGTGATCGTTAAACAAAACCATTGTCAACTCTGAAGTTGACTTGGCTGAAGCCATCTTTTCCTTCCTCCGTTGATTTTGCTTATCAGAAAATGGCTGGAAAGCAGTGGTGAGATTCAAATAAATTTACTACCGGTTCTGTGGGCATGGCTTGGCGGGCGTGGCTTGGTGGTGGGTGACAGGGGAAGGTTACTACAAAATCCCCATTCCCTCCCCACCCCACTAACCTGCTTTCCAGCTCCGTTCTCCTGTGCAGGAAAACCAAAGAAGACCCAGCCTATCAGCTGGGACTTGGGAGGCAGAGAAGAGATGGGGGCAAGGTGGCATTTGCCGGTTCTCTGAACTACTCAAAATTTCCGCTACCTGTTTCTCCAAAACTGGTCAGAACCTGCCGAATACCACCTCTGCTGGAAAAGTTGCAGATGGTGATCACGTGACCCCGAGATGCTGCAACTATCATAAATCCATGCCAGTTTCAAGCACCTGAATTTCGTTCTTGTCACCTTGGGGATGGTGCAATAGTTGTAATAGCAATAGCAATAGTACTTAGATTTACATACTACTCCATAGTGCTTTACAGTGGTAGACCCTAACCTTTTGGCCACCAGTTCTGTGGAGAGAGGTTTTTCCACGGACTGGAGGGGGTGTGGTTTTGCATGCTGCCTGCATCCTGCAAATGCGGTTTCGTTTGTTTGCGGGGCCTGGTTTCTGCCATGCTGTGGACAGATGGTGGTCCACGGCAGAGGTGGTATTCAGCAGGTTCTGACCAGTTCTGAAGAACCGGTAGCAGAAATTTTGAATAGTTCAGAGAACGGGAAATACCACCTCTAACTGGAGACTTTACAGTATCCTTCCCCTGTCATACCCACCAAGCCACGCCCACAGAGCCGGTAGTAAAATTTTTGAATCCCACCACTGGTTTACAAACTGGGGGTTGGAGACCCCTTGCTTTACAACACTCTTTGCTGCCAAAATCTGGGTCCTCATTTTACTGACCTTGGAAGGATGGAAGACTGAGTCAACCTTGAGCCAGGATCGAACACCAGGCTGAGGAGCAGAGTTTGCCTGCAATGCTGCATTTTAACCACTGCACCACCAGGGCTCATAAAAGTGAGAGCAATAACTGGTTGTAAGGCACTTTTGTCAGCACCGTTATAAATTGGAAAGATCACTAATGAAAATGTGTAAGTTGAGAACTACCTGTAATGCAAATAGGTTTAGTGTATAGTATTAAAGAACAGATCCTCGCCTAACATTTCTCTGTAATCTTGTGGTATGCCTAGTGTGGTGCTTCTTATCAATATTCATAATTAACAATCCATAAAATAGCCATAAAATATCACGACATTCAGTACAGATGAAGAACAACTGCCAAGAAAGGATAAAGGTGAAAACTGAGAAATGAAGAAGAGAGGTAGTGACTATACTGCCTATTATGGTCAGGAATAGAGCTCGGTTATCAAATGCATCTTCAAACAAGGTAACCTGGTTCAATTAGGCTTTGCTTTGGCAAGCAAAAATTCAAGGCCAAGTCAGTCCGTTCCAAACAGGACTGGATGCAATAAGGAATACCACATATTTTGCTGCACTGTGGCTCTCCCCAAATTCTCAGATTCAGCCTTGCAAAACACAGTGGATGTTATCACAGCAGACAGCCGAAGCTCCCACTAGTGGAGTGCCAAAATTCCACCCACGCCCTCTCTTGCAATCCTTTTCTTGCCTTCCCGTGTTTAGTTTTGCTATGAGAAAAACAAATATTTTTTTGTCTGCTTGGCTTCCCTAAGCCTTGTTATCGGGTCATAGGACACTACAAGGCAGCTTGCCAGCTGCCGAAAAAGGGGAGTGCCGTATTTCTGGAAGGTTCAAGGGGAAACTGGCCCAACTCCAAGTCCCAAGAAGTGTTTGCATCTTGCATCTCAAAATATCTGTGTTGTGAGCTGAGATCTTGGCAGTTGAGTTGAAAGAAAATCGGTCCAGCTCTGCGGTAGAGATGCTGGCTGAGAACCCAACCCGGTCCCAGCCCGTAGAGGTGTTCAGTGTTGTGGGATGCCTGAGCCAGGCATAAAGCTGAATGAACAGATAGTCCTCAGCTTATAACCATTTGTGTAGTGACCATTCAAAGTTACAACGGCACTGAAAAAAGTGACTTACGATTGTTTTTCACTTACGATCATTGTAGCATCCCACAGTCATGTGATCAAATTTCAGACAATTGTCAACTAGAATGTATTTATGATAGTTGTAGTATCCCTGGATCATGTGATCACTTTTTGCAACTTTCTGACCTACAAAATATCACAACAGAATACCCTACACCACCAGGCTTGAGATTTTGGGCGTGGACAACCTAGAACTACGCCACCTACGGTTGGACTTGAGCATAGTACACAAAATTATCTGCTACAATGTCCTACCAGTCAATGACTACTTCAGCTTCAACCATAACACTACAAGAGCACACAACAGATACAAACTCAAGGTAAGCTACTCCAAACTTGACTGCAGAAAGTACTTCAGCAACAGAGTGATCAATGCCTGGAATGCACTACCTGACTCTGTTGTTACATCTTCTAACCCCCACGCCTTTAACCTTAAACTATCCACTATTGACCTCACCCCATTCCTAAGAAGTCTGCAAGGGGCGTGCATAAGTGCACAATCGTGCCTACTGTCCCTGTCCTATTGTCCCCATTTATTTGTACCTATTTCCTGTATTCATACTCATGTTTATACCTATTATCTTGTAAGCGATTGACAAATCAAATAAATAGATAAATAAATAAATAAAATCAACAGGGAAGCTACATTCACTTAACAACCATGTTACTAACTTAACAACTGCAGTGATTAATAACTGTGGCAAAAGGTTGGTGAAATGGGACATGGCTCACTTAACAACTGTCTTGGATACCAACAAAAGTGTTGGTCTCCGTTATGATGGTAAGTGGAGGTACCACCTGTATTTCTCTATGGCTTCCTCTCATCAGATGGTCAGTTCACCCAACCAAAAAGGAGTGTAACTTGGAGAGCACTAGGACATGAAGGAGAATTTTTATGGGAACTATTGCTAAGATAAGCATGGCCTCGGGGAAGACACTGAGAACACAGTAAAGTGGCCCCCAAAGCACTTTGGTCTGGCTCCTGATGGTTTTCTCAAATTCATTCGAGTATAAGTTATCATTTTGTGAAATTTCACTCAGTACAGAGAAAGAAAGAAAAAAGACTCCAAGCTGTATGAAGTGGAAATGTTCTACACATTTGTGTTAATGTTAATTGATTGATTTTTAGTAATAAGCAACCTTACTTTTGATTTGTTCTCTAACATATCAATTAACATTTATTAATTACCAACATTCATTAAGTAACTGTCTACCTATCACATTAACTGGCTATTGTAATTGATTACTGTACTATTGCCATTGACCATGCCAGCCCAAAACTCCAAAACAAAACAAAAGAAAAATATTTCTACCAATGACCTCCCAGACTCCTGCACATGTTTCAAATGTCTTGAAACCATCAATGAAAGCGAAATTTACGTCAAATGCCGCCTATGCGATAATCTAGCTCACCCTGCCTGCTTAAATGCAAACAAAAGCCTAGCTAATATGGTTAAAAATTCAGATACATTCTTTTTTCTATGTCCATCATGTTCTCCTAAGCTAAACAAACTGAGTACCCTATCTGACAGAGTTGAAAGCATAGAATCACTCATTCACTCAATGGAAGAACGCTTAGCAACATGTTTTGAAACAACTACACAAGCAAGCCTAATTTCTCTAGAAAAAAAAAATATAGCACAGATAAATGAGTACCTATCAGCTCAGAATCAAATCCCACAACAACCACTACCTCAACTGCAATCACAACTACAACCAAAAATAACCACCAAACCGCAACCACAAACAATTACTATCCCTTCAAATAATTCCACAAATAACATCTCCTTACTCATCAGAGACACCATGGAACGTGAACAGAAACATCCAAATGCCATCTTATCTGGTCTCGAAGACACCAACAAATCAGATGACGTCACCAAAGTTCGTGATATCATAAGCAACTCTAATACAACAAACATCTCTCCTGAAGAAATCATTGAAATAACCAGAGATGGCCATGGGTACAAATACAATGACGGCTCTGTGGCCCCAAGATTTTGTAGAGTTGTATGCAAAAATGAGTCCAGAAAACGTATATTCATTCATACAATAAATGCCATTGCAAAAACCAATCCCAACCACAAAAAACTTCGCTCAAGACCAGACTTAGCCATACTGCAAAGAATCCGCTCCCATGAACTCTGCTCAGAACTCAAAAACTGTCTAGACAATGGAGAAAGGACCTATACATTGACTACGGAGCTGACTGCATCAAAAGAAAGTCACGTAACCCACAACTCTGCATTCAACCCCACCCCATCCAATCCAACATAACTCAAAACTAGGCATGCAGGCCTCTAACTACCTTTATTCCAACCACAACTGGCCTTAAATGCAAGCTACTCAATGCAAGAAGCCTTGAAAATAAAATACCTGAATTTCTCCTCTTACTAAATATGGCTAAATTCAACATTATATTTGTCTGTGAAACATGGCTCAATGCATCTCTCCCTGACTCCATTATCACAGTAACAGACTATCATGTTTACCAATCAGATCGTGAAATCCGTAGAGGAGGTGGTGTTGCTATCTTCTATAAAAAGTCCCTACATCTAAAAAACATCCAAGTTACCCAGGAGCTTGCTATTCCTGAGACCATCGTCTGTGAACTGTCCTTAAATATCACATTTCAGTTCTTACTATGTTACAGAGCCCCTGATTATGACATCGAACATGTAAACAAGCTAAATACACTACTAACATGGGCAGCATCCTGACCACACGCTTTTATCTTTCTTGATGACTTCAATCTACCTCATATTAACTGGACCCTTAACAAATGTACAACTGAACCCACACATGCAACCTTCTACAATGCAGTAACAAATCTGGGACTAGAACAACTAGTAACCAACAACACCAGACTTAACAACTGCCTCAATCTCATCTTCTTCAATGAATTCAATTTACAGAATACAAATTAAAGAACCCTTTTCCAACAGTGACCACAACATGATTGACTTTTGTCTCAACATACGTCCACACGAAAATCATCACAACGACGGAATCCCCAATTATAACTTCAAAAAAGGCAACTATGATCTTATAAACAATGATCCCCCATCCCTTGATTGGCAATTTCTATTCTCTGGATGCAATACTGTAGAAGACCATTACAACATATTTTTACTTGAAGTCAAAAGAGTCAGCAAACTATATGTACCATTAACAACTCCCAAAACCAGAAAAAACTACTTACCCCAAACAATAAGGAAGCTTCAATCCAAAAAGAAATCACTTTGGCGGAAAAACAAATCTGGTCACATTGCCAACTTCAAAAGCCAATACAAAAATTTATGCCACCAGATAAAAACTGAATGCACCAATTATCACATTAAACAAGTAGAAAACCTTCTACTCACCAATTCCACCCACGCTTTCTACAATTTTATAAACAACAAACTAAAAGATTCAAGGTCCATCCCACCCCTGAAAGGAAAAGACTACAACGACAACACTATTAAAGCCAACCTCTTTAACACATTCTTTGGCTTAGTATTTGTAAACAGCAATGGATCATGCCCAGTATTTCCTAGTTGAACCACAGACAACTACAATGATCTAATGCATATCAATTTTACAGAAGACATTGTTGAAAAAGCACTGAGTAATCTAAAATCATCTCTATCTATTGGACTGGATGTAATATGTGCCTACTTCTTAAAAAAGCTATCCACTGCCATAGCCGAACCTCTAAGCATAATTTTTGAAAAATCTTTCAGGACCAGCTCCTTGCCAAAACTATGGTCACAAGCCATGGTCAATCCCATCTTCAAAAAGGGAGACCCCAGCCTAGTTGAAAATTACAGACCAATCTCTTTATGCTGCGTCACCTGTAAAGTCATGGAATCAATTATTAACCAATTCATCATCCTCCACTTAGAAACAAACAACCCACTCTCTAATAAACTATTTGGTTTTAGGAAAAAACTATCATGTAATCTGCAACTCTTACACTGCAAAAACATATGGACTACACAACTCGATCAGGGCAACGCAATAGACGCAATCTACATAGACTTCTGTAAAGCCTTTGATTCAGTGGTACACGACAAACTACTCCTAAAACTAAAATCTTATGGTATCTCTGGACACCTGCATAACTGGATAGAAGCATTCCTGTCAAACAGACAATAAATAGTCAAAATTGGGAGCATCCTATCAAATTCTGTACCTGTCAACAGTGGTGTCCCCCAAGGCAGTGTTGTAGGACCATTTCTTTTCATACTCTACATAAATGACCTCTGTGATCATACCAAGAGCAACTGCGTTCTCTTTGCTGATGATGTAAAGCTATTCAACACACAGACAATACTGCTACCCTTCAAAAAGACCTTGACTACGTATCAGAATGGTCAATCAAATGGCAACTTCAAATCTTAACAAATAAATGCTCTGTCCTACATATTGGCAAAAAAAAATAAGAAAATAAAATACAGGCTGAATAGTCAGGACCTTGTTGATGATCCAAACTCTGTGAAAGATCTTGGAATACTCATCTCAAATGACCTAAATGCTAGAGCCCATTGTAACTACATAGCCAAAAAGGTGTTGAGTTGTTAACCTAATCTTATGTAGCTTTTTCTCTAGTTATTACACTAATAACTAGAGCATACAAAACATTTGCTAGACCAATGCTTGAATACAGCTCATCAGTCTGGAACCCACATTACGTATCTGATATTAACACAGTTGAGAAAGTCCAGAAATATTTCACAAGAAGAGTTCTCCACTCTGCTACTCATTGCAGAATACCTTATGCCACCAGACTCAAAATTCTAGACCTAGAAAACCTAGAACTACGCCGCCTTCGGTCCGATCTAAGTATAGTATATAAAATCATACATTGCAATGTCCTACCTGTCAATGAATACTTCAGCTTCAACCATAACAACACTAGAGCAAACAACAGATACAAACTCAAGGATAATTGTACCAAACTTGATTGCAGGAAATACGACTTCAGCAACAGAGTGGTCAATGTCTGGAATACTCTACCTGACTCTGTGGTTTCTTCCCCAAACCCCAAAAACTTGAACCTTAGACTGTCTACTATTGACCTCATCCTTTTCCTAAGAGGTCTGTAGGGGGCATGCATAAGCACACCAAAGTACCTACTGTCCCTGTCCTATTGTTTCTTTTATATTTTTTTATTATTTTTCTTATATGTATCCATGTATTCATAACTATGTTTTTTACTTATACCTATTATCTTGTAAGCAATTGACAAATAAAAATAAAATAAATGTTAGTGCTGCTGTTGCAGTGAACTGCTTTAGGATGTCAGTGTTATTACAGAATTAGACCACTAGCTACGGAGTCAATTTGTGATGCTCTATTTTCAGTGTCTGCCAATTCAGGATTCTCAGCTATGAAAGAGGCAGATGGTCTCTGGGGAACCACTTAAAATGTTTCCTTCTTTCCTTTGGTGTCCGCTCATTGCAGTCCTACCTATTGTTGTAGGCACCTCCGAAATCACAAGCACAGCTTCGGCAGCCTGCCACGTCGTAGCTCAAACCCCAGTATTCAGGCTGTGAGAGAGAAGGACCAACACACCCGTTAGGGACTGGACTCAAAATATGAAAAGCACAAATCCAATTGATACAACACTCACTCACCAAACATTGGTCGCAGTACTGCCCAGTGACAAAACGCTTGCAATAGCAATCACCTCTGATCTGGTCACAGGAGCTGCTCTCTGTGATGATCCCACGAGGGTCACACCTGCAGGCTGAGAATACATACCAGTAGTTTCCATGGGATCTGTTTCTGGTCTTTAAAAAGTGGGGTAAGCACTTAGCTTGGTTATTTTCTTGCAGATGTTTCATTACTCAACTAGGTAACATCTTCAATGCTAGAAGGAATTTGGGTTGTTTTCTGTTTACATACAAGTGGCTCACCCTGACAATGTTGGTGGGACTGTCCTTGGTAGTTCCTTGATTAGTCTATTGTTTAATGGTTGATTGTTTTTGTTTTTTTAATTTTATTGGTTTTTAAAAACAAACATAAACAAACAAAACATAAAAACTTTAAGCTGTCTTCCATAGGTGTACGTACAGTGTGCCGGTTGGTTTACAAATTGTTTTTGCTTCCATTTCGTAGTCTTCTAACATTGCATATTATCTCATATTGTCAATCAACAATTAAATACATTAGTATCATTATTAATCAATCATTTCACTATACTTTTATTCATTCATGTTTTACAAGATAATCATTATTTACTTAGTTTATTTTATAACAGTTCATATTATCATCCCAAATCTATCCTAAAATCATTTTGTAGATATAATAAGAAAAAAGTACATCTTTATATATTTATTATTTTCTAAAAGTCTATGTATTTCATTACTGTATTTTATTGTCTAACCATTGATAGAAAAGATCCCAAATTTTATAAAATTGTTTATCCTCTTGTTCTCTAATTTCAAATGTCTATCTACTCATTTCAGCACATTCCAATATTTTCTTAATGATTTCCTTCCAGTTTTTAGTAAATACAATCCTAGCCGCTGTTAATACATTTACGATCAGGTATTTCAAGTCTTTACTATATATTTCAGGTAAAATTCCCAATAAAAATATCTCTGGTTTCAAGTCTATATGTTTTTTTGTCATTTTTTCCAACCACATGTGGATTTTAGTCCAGTATTTTTTAGCATCCACACAAGTCCACCACATATAGTAATATGAGCCAGGTGTCTGATGACATTTCCAACATTTTTCAGATTTATTCTTGAACATTCTTGCTATTCTTGTTGGGGGAAAATGCCACCTGTAAAACATCTTATACAAATGTTCTTTATATGCTGTTGACATTGTCATTTTATAATTTTGAGACCACAATTTTTGCCATTTCTCTAAATCAATCCCATATCCAAAATTCTTCCCCCAAGCAATCATAGTTTCTTTAACTTGTTCTTCTTCTAGTTTAATTTCTAATAGATATCCATACAATTTTTAAATCACCTTTTCATCAGTACCTGTCAAAATCTTATCTAAGTCAGTCAGTTTATCATAGAAACCTTCTGTTTTAAAATCTTTATCATACCTTGAATGTATTTGCGCATATGAAAACCAATTCATCTTTATACCTTGTTCCTCTAGTTTTTGCATAGATTTAAGTTCACCCTTTTCATTCAATATTTCACCATATCTAACTGTTTATTCCTTTTTGTATATTATAGGATACGAGAATGCTTCAATAGTCGATAACCAGACTGGAATTTTCAAATAACATTGCCTTTTAATCTTCTCCCAGTTTAACCACAGAGATTCCCGTATGTAATGTCTTCTAAAATACCCCTATGTTTTAGTTCCTTTATACCATAAAAAAGCATGCGACCCCAACAACAAATCATGTCCTTCTAATGTCAACAATCTAGCATTTCTTAGTGTTATCCATTCCTTAACCCACATCAGATTTGTAGCTTGGTAGTACAACTCCCAATCAGGCAAACCAAATCCTCCTCTAATTCTAGCATCTTGCAAAAGTTTTAACTTTATTCTCGCTTTCTTACCTTGCCATATATATTTCAACACAATTTTATTTAGATCTTCGAAGTAGTCTTTTCCAAGCCTAACTGGAATTGTTTGAAACAAATATAAAATTCTGGGTAGTATATTCATTTTGATTGTTGAAATTCTCCCTATTAGTGACAGTTGTAAGTTTTCCCATTTCACCAAATCTAGCGCTATCTGCTGTTTAAGTTTGATATAATTATTCTCTTTTAATGTACTACATCTTGCTGTCAAATATATCCCCAAGTACTTGATCTTACTCGTGACCTGAATTTTCAATAGGTCTGCCAGTTCTTCCTTTTGTCTTAATAGCATATTCTTTGTCAAGATCTTTGTCTTATCTTTATTTATTTTCAAACCAGCCACCTTTCCATATGTCTCTATCTTTTTTTATCAATTTTGATGCTATTTCTAGTGGGTCTCCTAAAATAAAAACCAGATCATCTGCAAATGCTTGCAACTTAAATTCTTCCTTTTTTATTTTCATTCCTTTTATATTCTTTTCATCTCTAATATTTCTGTTTAACACTTCCAAAGTTAACACAAACAACAAAGGTGATAGTGGGCACCCTTGTCTTGTTCCTTTTGTTATATTGATAGTCTGTCAGTTCTCCCTCTATCATTACCTTTGCCGTTTGCTTATAGTACATAGCTTCTATTGCTTGAATAAATTTTCTAGCAAAACCCATCTGTTCCAACAGTAATAACATGAATCGCGAATTCACATTATCAAATGCCTTCTGTGCATCTAGAAATATCAGAGCCATTTGTTTTTCAGGATGTGCCTCGCAGTATTCCAAGGTGTCCAAGATTATTCTCATATTGTTTTTAATTTGTCTCTTTGGCAGAAATCCATTTTGATCAGGATGGATAAAATTATTTAAATATTTTTTAAGTTTTTCTGCCAATATTGAAGCAAAGATTCTGTAATCTGCATTTAGTAGAGAAATGGGTCTATAGTTTTTAATTTGTAATGGGTTGGCCTCCTCTTTTGGAATAAGTGTAATATAGGCTTCTGACCATGATTTAGGTATCTTCTTCTTTAACTTAATTTCATTCATAACTTCTAACAATGGAAGATTCAACAATTCTTGTAATGTTTTATAAAATTCTGCCGGAAGTCCATTCTGGGACTGGTGCCTTTCCATTATTTTGCTTTTTGGGTGCTTCATTTAATTCCATCATCGTTATGTTGCTTTCTAACATTTTTTCAGTCTCTTTAGGTATCTGAGATAAATTAGCATTCTGTAAGTACTGTTTAACTCTTTCCTCATCAATATTCTCTTGCATATATAATTTCCCATAGAAGTCTCGAATGATTTCCTTCTTCTCCTTGCTACCATGGCAAACTTGGCCTTGGTCATCTATTAATTGCAATATTTTCCTTGATTCTTTCTCCTTTCTCAATTTGTATGCTAACTATCTACCTGGTTTGTTTGCATCTTCAAAGTAGTTCTGTTTAGCACCTCTAATTTTCTGTGCTAATTCTTCTTTTTCTATTTGACCCATTTTTGTTTAATTATATCCATTTTTAGCTTGATGTCCTTTTTCTGTGGCATTTTCTGTTGCTCTTTTTCAAGCCTTTTATGCCCATTCTCTAGGGCCTTAGAGGCTAGTCTTTTCATAGTATTCCTTTTCCTTGTATAGTCTATTATCAAGCCTCTAACATATGCCTTCATTGTATCCCATACATTCTGAATTGATGTATCTTCTTTGTTTTCTCTAAAGAAAAAGGCCAATTCTTTCTCCATCCACTGTGTGAAGTCTTTTTCCTTTAAAATAATATTATTTAACGTCCATCTAGATCTTTTTTGTCCCTTCCATTTAATTGTCATTGGATTGTGATCTACCCAAATACTTGTTTCAATATTTATTTCTTGAATGTTAGGTATTAATTCTGTTGACATCCATATCATATCTATTCTGGACCATGATAAGTGTCTATTTGAATAGAAGGTATATTGTTTAATTTTAGCAATTCTTTCTCTCCATGTATCTTTTAAGCTTATTTCATCTACCATTTAAAAAAAAGATTTAGGGAGAGTCTTTCTGTTTTGCTTTATTGTTTTCTGTGCTGTATAATCCAATTTATTGTCTACAATTCCATTAAAATCCCCCATCATAACTATATTAGTATAGTCCAGTTCGATTATTTTCATATGTAATTTTTTGTACAATTCTTCTTGTTTGTCATTCGGAGCATAAATTGCAATCAGGAGTGTTTTCATATTATTGTCCATTATTTCCACCATTAGTATTCTTCCATCATCATCGGTATAGATCAATTTTGCTGGGGTGGTCTCTTTAATATATAAAACCACTCCTCTTTTCTTACATTGTGTCAAGGAAGTAAATATTTTCCCTAATTTTGGCTGTACCAACAATTGTTCATATTGTTTTTTAACATGTACTTCTTGTAGACAAGTTATATCAAATTTTAATTTCTCTAATTTATGAAAGGTTTTCCTTCTTTTAACGGCTGAGTTGTCCATTTATATTAATTGTAATCAATTTTTTCTCTTCCATGGTTATATTTTATAGTTAGGTTTAGCAGCTCTCATAGATCTTAGTTCACGTTGTTCTTTGGCTTCCACCTTTCCACCTACTGCACCTTCTTCTTTTTCAGTTGCCATTTGGCAGTCCTCTTGAAATTCAATTAGTGAGATCTCCTTTTCTGCCACTTCCCCTTTCCTTCCAAAAAATTCTGTATAAAATAATTCCGCTTTCTCAATTGAGTCAATTCTAAGTCTCTGTTCTTGCCATGTGAACATTAAACCTTCTGGAATCAGCCATCTATAATTCACCTCTTTTTTAAGTAGCATTTTAGTCAAGAATCGGTATTCTCTTCTCATCTCTCTCACTCTTCTGGGTACTTGTTTCAAGGCCACAATCTCCTTATCTTTGTATTTCAATGTTTTCTCTCTTGCCACTTGCAATATTTGCATTTTAATGGCTTTCTTTGTAAATCTGATGTGAACTTCTCTTGGTAAGCTATTTCTCATTACATCTTGTGAAAACTCGATAAACCTCATCTATTCCATCCATCATCTTCTCTTGAGTTATTTCCAAAGCTTCAGCCAGTATTTCTATCATTATCTCTGCTAAGTTTTGTCCTTTTTCTTCCTCTACGTTTTGGAATCTAAGATAGAATTCTGATCTATTCATCTCCCATCTCAACATACTACTTTTATCTTGTTCAACCACCGTTAATCTATTATCAATATCTCCAATCTTCTTGTCTCTTTGTTTATCTTCTTCTTCAATTTTTTGGAATCTCTCATCATACTTCAACATCATTTGTTGGATGTTCTCCACTTTTTCATTGGTTTTCCCTGTTCTTTGTTCAATGTTCTCTATTCTCTTTTCAATATTCTCTGATCTTGCTTGAATATTTTGAATTCCTTGCATAATCATCTGCAGAGTCACTTTTTCTTGTTCTTTTTCTTGCTTTAACATTGTCTGTATTGAACGTTGTCCTCCAGATGGTGGAGAGGAAGAAGTAGAAATTGAAGAACCAGGAGCTGTAAATTTCCTACTCATTTTAAGCAATTCAAAATCTTCAGGTTCTTCTAAACCTTAATCCAATTGTGAAGTAACCAATTATAGTTCAAAATAAAAATAGTAGAAAAAAGAAGCCCAATAATAGTAAAAAAAAGAAAAAAGAAGGGAGGACAAAATTTCTTCAGGTTCTTGTATACCTTAATCCAATCAATAGTAGGATAAAGAAAAAGAGCTTAAAAAGAAAAAGAAAAAAAAGAAAAGGGAAAAATTCTTCAGGTTCTTCAACACCTTAATCCAATTGAAAGGTCTCAAATAGAAAAAAGTACATAAGAATAAACCAGAAAGGTAGATGAAAAAAAAAAATACCAGGAAAGGGAAAAATAAAGGCTTTTAAGGCTTTCCCTTTAAAATAAAAAGCAAACGTAGAGATTGGACTTCCAAAGAAAAAAAGAAAAACAAAGACAAGCTCCAACAAAGCCAAAAACCCATATAGTTATTACAAAAAAAAATTAAATAAAAAGAAATACAATAAAGCTGGTGAGGAGGGATAGCACAACTTAGGAAAAGTAAAAAGGGCACACTGCACTTTGTTTAATTATCCAAGGCTCTTATTATAGCTCTCTTCTCCAAAAACTTATCACCTTTTTTCCCCCTAGGTTTCAACACCAGACTCCAGCTGTTGATAGAAACCCAGAAGAGCACCTGCAATAATACTCTCTCGTGCTTTTCCCTCTATCTTATCAAATAGCAAGGTCCTTGAAAAAGAGTCTCATTTCTTTCTTTCTCAGCTTTGTCTGGTCACAGGGAAATAGAATATTTTCAAGCCTCTAGTTGGCAGTGTTACAAAGTTTCTTTGCTCTCACTTTCCCCCTCCTTTTCCGAACAGGATATAATAAGAATTAATAAAAAAAGAAAAAGATATTTTTTAAAAAAGAAATAACTAAAGGGAGCCTCTAGCCTAAAATATCACAAAATCAAAAAGGAGAAGAAAAAAATAGATATGAACGAAAAAACCAGTCCCGTTTCAAAACACAAGATCATATATAGAAAATCCAGCAATGAGAAAGAAAAAACACATTACTTTGACAAATCTGTTTAAAATCGCCACTTAATCACTTCTGTCAAAACTTTTACAGATTCTTTCTTTTCCTTAGGGTGTCCTTTCAGATCTTAGAATAAAAAAAAATTTCTCACCAAACCGGCACACTCTCTCTTTCTGTTCTCTTCTGTTTCGGAGCTGTCTCAACTTCAGCAGCTTTAAAGGCCGCCTCTTTGCCACTAGAAAGAAGAGCTTCTCCTGGATCTATCAGGGGCTTTGTGGTATCCCTGGGATCGACAGGACGCACTCTTCACTTTCACCATCTCTTCGGGATGGTTTAGATCCGATAGGACCATCCAGGAACAAAGATATCGGCAGCGATCTCAGACCTCCAAGATCGCATGCCGTATCATCACGTCAGCTCCGCCCTCCTCGATTGTTTGTCTGAGTTGGATCGTTTGACTGAGCTGATTGAAATATTGCTTTACTGCTTGATTTTGGTATAATATTTTGTTGCTAGTTGCGAAGTTGTGTCCGACTCATCGCGACTCCATGGACAATGTTCCTCCAGGCCTTCCTGTCCTCTACCATCTTCTGGAGCTCATCTAAGCTCACGCCGACTGCTCCAGTGACTCCATTCAGCCACCTCATTCTCTGTTGTCCCCTCCTTCTTCTATTGTCCTCAGTCTTTCCCAGCATTAGGCTCTTCTCCAGTGAGTCCTTCCTTCTCATTAGGTGGCCAAAGTATTTGAGTTTCATCTTCAGGATCTGGCCTTCTAAAGAGCAGTCAGGGTTGATCTTCTCTAGGACTGACCGGTTGGATGGCCTTGCAGTCCAAGGGACTCGCAAGAGTCTTCTCCTCCAGCACCAAAGTTCAAAGGCCTCAATTCTTTGGCACTCAGCCTTTCTTATGGTCCAACTTTCACAGCCATACATTGCAACTGGGAAAACCATAGCCTTGACTATACACACTTTTGTTGGTATAGTATTAATCTCAGTATTAATCTCTGCCTCCACGAATGTAGGTTGCTGGCAAGGAAGTGTTGTGCTGTTTTAGTTTTTTATTGTCTCTTTTGAATGGTATGTTGTTAATCTCTATGGGCCTGTAGAAGGGAGTAGAGAAAGCAAACCCACTCCCTTCTAGGACTGATGATGTTAGCTAGTTGGGTAATGAAACATCTGCAAGAAAACAACTAAACTCAGAGAGTACCAGAGATCTCACAGTTCAACCCTGAGCTACAGATGTTCTATTCTATTGTCCTCATGAGCTTTAGAGACAAACAACATATCATTCAAAGCCAATAAGAAACAATTCAGACAAACACTCCAACAAACAGCAAACAACAGTCTGAAGGACCTAATGAAATGTCTGCAAGAAAACAACCAAGTTCAAAGTGCACCAAGAACCTCACTGGCCATGAATGACATGCAACCCTCAACTCTCCTCCAGATTGTGTTGCAATGAGGTTTGAGGCACACATTTCTCTGCTTAAACTTCTCCCCTCCCCAAAGCCCAACATAGCAGACTAGATGGCTGCAAATGCCCAACCGCTTTGCTCCACCCAACATGCTACAACCATAGCATTCAGATTCTGCTAAGAGAATTCACCTAGTACAAGCTGTTTCTTCACTTTGCTCCAAAATAGTAAGGTCTAATGAATTTCCATTCCATAGTTATTTTGCCTTAAAAAAAAAACACTAAAGGATAGGGAGTACTGTTTAAGTAAATATAGACAGAGCGAGAAATAATAGGCTGCGTAAGAGATACTAAAAAATGCGCTGATAGAGCCCGGATTCCTAATCTCTCTAAGCCAGTGGGCACATTTGGAATTTTGAGAGCATGTTTGAGGTTCTTTCAAAGAATGGCTGTCATGTTGGGTATGACCAACTAAGCTTGGCTTAGACTTATCCGGAACTGCACGTAGGTGTTGATGCATTTCTACACTGCAAAGAGATTGATGGGTAAGCGTAGATTGCCGATGATTGCAGGCAGGCCAACGTGTATGAGTCCTAAATCTCAACTATGCGTTGCGTGCAGATGTACATCCTGCATGTTGATTGGTTGATCTGACTTCCTGTTGAGAGTCAGGTGGTTTGAAAGCCTCTCCCCCCACCGGCCAGAATATTAACATTACTGGAAGTACAAATGCAACAGCTATGCAACTGTCTCCAAACGACAGACACGTACCAGTGGTGGGTTTCAAAAACATTTCCTACTGGTTCAGTGTGAGTATGTGCTTTGCGTGAGGGCAGCATTTGCAACTCACCTTCCGCTGCAAGCCCTGTGTGTAAAACAGCTGATGTGCGGCAATTGGCTGTGCCGCGTGAAGCAGCTGAGGTTAAAAAGCAGTCCAGCAGTAACCTGGACCCTGGGGGCAAAGTTGGAGCTATTAAAGGGACTTTTATTGATTATCTGACTGTGTTGCCTTTGCGCCATGCCCCGGGTCATCACAAAAAGTGGCAAAATAGGGCAAAGCTCCCTTAACAAATGTCTCACTTAACAACAGAAATGTTGGGCTCCATTGTGGTTGTAAGATGAGGACTACCAGTAGTCTATTCCTGCAGCCACCTGGTTTCCCCAGACAGCCTTGTTACTTACGTTGGCAGCCAAGAGGATCGTTCAGGCTCAGGCTGTAAAAGCCTTCTTTGCAGCTGTCACAACGCGCACCTTTGACGTTCTCTTTGCAGCGACACTGCCCCGCAATCATACCCAGCGTTGTGTCTGTATGACTGTCACACACACCTCCATCCGAAGAGCCAGCTGGGTCACAGTCACAGGCTACGAGATGAAAGAGAAAAAGCATGCGTGTGGAGCGGAAGAAATCGGTAAATTGGATAGGCTGAACAATGCCACACCGCTATTCACACCACATGCTGGAGGCACCGTAAAACCAATGGAGACTCCCAGAAATAGTGATTTGTTAACCTCTTTCTTCACGCTGGAGCAGCTTCAGAAAGACCAGGTCTAACTTTGGGTTTTACAAAAACATTCAAGAGTCCCTGTCCTTCTTGCTAGTGGCCTATCCATGTTTCTCTCATTTTACCCTTGAAGGCAAGGGTGTCACTCGATTTCACTGAGGGTCACCTCAGGGTTGTGTTTGACCTCGGGGTGGGGTGGGGCAGGGGTGTGTGACCAGGGGCAGGATGTGACCAGCTCAGTGTCACTCGTCGAGGCTCTGTTTTCAGCTGTGACAGCCTCCTGCATCCCTCTGCCAGCAAAACTGGAGCTCGGGTTGGCCGCACACAGCCTGCCTGGACTCCATTTTTGCTGGCAGAGGTCTGCAGGAGGCTGTTGTGGCCAAAAATGGAGCCTTGATGAGCCGAGCATGGCCACCCCCCACACTCCATTTTCACTGGCAAAGGGCTCCAGGAGGCCATCCGCTGTTTCCAGGGCAGCCCCGCGGGTCAGATCTAAACACCCCATAGGTCGTATCTGGCCCACGGGCCTTGAGTTTGACACCCCTGCTCTAAGGAGAAAAAGACATTCTTGGAGGAAAGGGTATGACCCACAAACATGCTGGAAGATGCATTTTGGTTGTGCCTGGTGCACAGGAAAAGCAAAAATTTGCTTCTCTGAAGATGCCCAGGAACTGGGTCTTTGCATTTTGCCACACATGAGCTTAGACTTGACTTGGCACTTTCTGGCTAACTGAGTATTATGCAGAGGTGACCATCATATTGAACTTCTGACCCCTGCAGACATCCTGGTGTTGACGTATCAGGAGCCACGAAAAGAGCCACGGAAAGAGAATCCGAAGGGAAACCTTATGAGTAACTTCAGACTTTTGTTTCAATCAAAAGGCTCGATTGTACACTTGTTTTAGAACCAAGCTGAACTAACTGCTAAAGAAGATGATGGGATGGGATCACAGAGTGCAGAGTTATCCAGCACAAAACACTTTGTAGGGAAGCATCTGTGAATCAAAGGCACAGACAATTGTGTGCAGCATTCATTTCTACTGACAGTTTATTTCATAATCCGCTTCAAATCCTTTCCTCTGGAGGAAAGCTCCAATGATACCTTACAAGCAACCATGGCCTTCGTACAGATCAATACATCCTGGAAGTGGTCAAAACAATAGGACCTGATGGCTGACTAGTTTAAAAATTGCTAGCAATTTAAACTAGTGGGAATCAGTGGCTAAGATGCTGAGCTTGTCGATCAGAAAGGTCGGCAGTTCGGCGGTTCGAATCCCTAGTGCCACATGATGGAGTGAACTCCCGTTACTTGTCTCTGCTTCTGCCAACCTAGCATTTCCAAAGTATGTAATAAAGGCAAGTAAAAAAATAGGGAACACTTTGGTGGGAAGGGAACAGTGTTCCGTGAGCCTTTGGCATTTAGTATGACTATGGAGACGTCTTTGGACAGCGCTGGCTCTTCAGCTTAGAAATGGAGATAAACACTGTCCCCTAGAGCCGGAAATGACTACATGTATGTGCAAGGGGAACCTTTATCTTTAGGGTCAAGAAAGCCAGCTTGGTGTAGGGGTTAAGGTCTCAGGCTAGAAACTGAGAGACTGTGACTTTTTGTTCCGCTTCAGGAACAAAGCCGGATGGGTGACCATTAGGCCAGTCACTTTCTCTAAGCCCTAGGAAAGAGGCAATGGCAAACCACTTCTGAAAAAACCTTGCGAAGAAAACTGGAGGGATTTGTCCAGATAAACTCCAAGAATCAGACACAATGGAAGAAAAAAGAAAAGGTCAATGAAAGAATGGACGCTTTTCAGTTCTACAGAGTGCTTCCCAAAGCAATTGGCAAAGCCACTCACATGTATAGATTCAGTTTACTTCCTCTTTGTTTCTGGGGCATGCAAGAAGAAAGCGACATACTTACGAATGCACGCGGTTTTGGCCCTAATGTCAGCCAGTGGGTTGCGGTAAAAGAACGGCTTGCAGCTCTGGCAGTGGCGGCCCATGGTGTTGTGCTGGCACTCGTCACAGACCCCACCACTGGAGTTACCTGTAGCCAGGTAGACGGCTATGTCAAAGTGGCACCGGTGGGAGTGTTCGTTGCAGTTGCACTCTGGCGAGAAGACAGGGAAGTGATTCAGTTGCCTGCATTCCGTTCGTGTCCATTCTCCTCCATGGATACCACCCAAGACAACCCCCTAATCTAGCAATACTTATAGGAATAGCAATAGCACTTAGACTTATATACCGCTTCACAGTGCTTTACAGCCCTCTCTAAGCGGTTTGCAGAGTCAGCCTATTGCCCCCCCAACAATCTGGGTCCTCATTTTATCAGAAGGATGGAAGGCTGAGTCAACCTTGAGCCGGTCAAGAGCAAACTGCCAAATTGCAATCGGCCGGCAGTCAGCAGAAGTAGCCTGCAGTACTGCACTCTAACCACTGCACCACCCATCACAGCTCTTATTCCAGTAGAGCCTAAATAAACGGTGACACAGCCTATCAATTTCCCTGAAACTTGGGGTCCTGAATGGTCTCAAGTCATGACAACTGTGATGCTCCCATAGGATGCTCCCAAGGAGTATCACAAAGAAACAAGGCAGCCCAGATGAAGGAGCCCTCAACCAGGGAGGAGAAAGCTTCGGGAATTTCTGCAGTGGGGTTGGATGGCCATTCAAAAGAGGAAGCTCTCTGCCTGGATCTTGACTAGATGTGTGATTCAGGATACTATACAGGTGGTTCTCGACTTATGACCAAAATTGAGCCCAAAATTTATGTGGTTAAGTGAGAAATTTGTTAAGTGGGTTTCGCCCCATTTTACGAGCTTTCTTGCCACAGCTGTGAAGTGAATCACTCCAGTTGATTAGTTAGTGACCTCGTTGTTAAGTGAATCTGTCTTCCTCGTCGACTTTGCTTGTCAGAAGGTCGCAAAAGGGGATCACATGACCCGGGGGATGGTGCAATAGTCATAAGTATGAACTGGTTGCCAAGCATCTGAATTGTGAAATGTGACCATGGGGATGCTGCAAAGTTGTAACTGTGAAAAACAGTCCTAAGTCACTTTTTTCTGTGCCATTGTAACCTTGAACGGCTATTACCTGTACAGGTAGTCCTTGATTTACAACCATTCATTGCTGACCATTCAAAATTACAACAGCACTGAAAAAAGGTGACTTAGAATCGGTCCGTGCACTTATGACCATCTCAGTTGCATGATCAAAATTCAGGCACTTGGCAAACGAAATGTATTTACGAAGGTTGCAAGGTCCTGGGATCACCGTTTGCGATCTTTCCCATCTGGCTTCTGATAAGCAAAGTTAACGGGGGAAGTCAGATTCACTTAACAACTGCATAATTCACTTAACAACTCCTAATCATGGGGGAAAAGATCTTAAAACTGGGCATGATTGACTCAACAATCGCCTTGCTTAGCAATGGAAATTGTAGTTCCAAATAAAAAAACTTCCCATACGGTTTAA